ATCAGATTTAATCTAGCAAATATAAGGACAAGAGACAAAAAACAATTGATGAATCAGTGGAAGTGCACTAAATTGAATACAAAAAAAGAGTTGTCATCTTATCGCCGTGAAACATCAAAAACTGGAGGTGGAACAAAGCCACCATCACCTTCTCGAGACACAATGGTTTGAAGTAGATTTCAATGAATTTGATTGTGATGGTGTCGAGGTAGGAATGTTAATTATAAATATGATGTATGGTGATGTTCAAGGTTCAACCTTTCAAGCATAGGCATATGCTTACAACATTACTTTATTCCCCTACAGGGTAGTTAGAGATATTGTAATACCTCAAAACATCCATGTTGCACTTGTAGTACCGAAACTCTGTCCTGCCAGAAGTGAGCCCATTCCCACTTATAATGGACAGTGGGTATAATACACCTTAATACCTGAGTGCGAACCACTCACCATGATACTTAAATTAATAGATGTTATTTATATATTTCAGGTTATTACAAATAAAATCATTTTGGAAACAATTGATATCCCAAAAGCAAATAAAGCCAACAATGACAAGGTAATAAATCAGTTTTGACATAACTTGAATACTAAAAAAGCCAAACAAAGGTGTGCACAACAGTGACAACATAACTTAACAATTTCATTATTTTGTAGGATTAAAGAAAGGTTAAAGAAAATCATGTCGAACTGAACAACAAGAATCCCCAAACAACTCCAAAGAAACCTACAAGGAAGACACCGGTATTATATTTAAATTATCTCTATCTCTAAATAGAATAAAAGAATGTTGCTATCCAGGTCTGTAGCATGTGCTACAAATTATATTATTAACACATTTATATAATTATATTAATATAAATGTGTTAAAAAATTTATAATATGAATTATAAAAAATTTTAAGTTTTGCATGGACAGAGCTTAAATTAATATTCTCTTATTTGTTGCAGAAAGCAAGTAGTTTTGGAGAAGCCTCGTAGATGCACAACCAAGTAATGATTAATTTAAAATTACAAACCGAAATTCTGATGAAGACATTAGAGTCACTTAAAAATAAATAGTATAATGAAATAAAAATGTTTTAAAGATAAATAGTGTTTTATTTGTTTAATGTAAGAGAATAATAATAAATATTTATTTAATTAATTTTTCAAATGTATACTGAACTTTATTGACTTTAATGACTCCTTTTCCAGTCTTTGATTATTTAATTGTAATTAATTATTTGCATGCAATCAAAAACTATTTTTAATAATGCCAAAGAAGTATAACTTCTTACGCGCGTACATAAGTACACGCACCCTTTTTTTTTATAGACCAGGGATGCCATGGTAATTTTATAGCAGATTTTGTTGGTAAAATAAATTTTATGAGCGTCTTATTTCCAACAAAGCCTTCCCTATAGGTCTTTGCCTAATCTGCATAAGAGAGGACCGTGCAAAATTTTAATATATTCTGGCGTTAGACGGGAGTCTATTAATTGGAAGTGAAGTTTGAGAAATATTAGTTGAACGTAAGGAGAGGAGACTGGGGATGGTTGTGACATTTAAATATACAGTATTACATTTCGTATTGGTTGATTTTAAGAGGTAAATTATTAGGTTTATATTTAAACTGGATTGAACAATACTGTGTTTAAATTTAAAATATTTTTTTTGAGAAAAACCAATCATCCAACGACTTGAGTCCTCAGCAAAAATATAATCTGAAGGTTCACTGCGAACAAAATATTCTGTATATTTGATTCGTAGGAAGAAAGGAACATTTGCAGATACTCAGTAGTCACAAGAGTCTCTTTCTAGTATACAACTAAGCAAGCTTTCTTAGAACCCTTGGAAGCTACATTTTATTCTGTTTTTTGCAATGCTATCATTATTGTCTCGTGTGTATACAGTACATTTACATCTGTACATTTGGAAAAGAAATCTTCAACATTAGATTTATTGGATGATGTTCCTCTGTTAAAGCTTGTAGCTTATAGCGAACGTCTAGATAACGATGAGTTGCGGAAGTATGCCGTCAGCCAGTTAAGTTTATTAAAGGAGATATGACATATTTCAAACTCTTTAGCGATGTCACGAACTTTTTTGGTTTCACCCTCTTAGAAATCTTCTGTCACAACCAGTACCGGTCTCCCCTGTATCTATTTATTTATATAGCCTTTTCTGTACGATGATGTTATCTCAAACAAGCAGCCGCTATTAAAACGCAAGAAGATGCATCACACCTTTAAGCTAGTAAACAAGCTAGCAAAAACGGTGTGCCGATAATAAATTGACACTAAATTATAATAAATGTCATCTCATAATAATCGCTCGTAATCGTGGAGTCATAAAAACAATTATTAGACAATTACAATTAAAAGATCTAGATGTTCTAGACTCAAAAATAACTTTTGATGCTGCTGCTGTCATCAATTTCTTCTTCTCCCTCGCCCGATTGCGACAATTGACAATTGTTCCATGTGCCTCGTAGGAACACGAATTGTCAGCGTAATTCGCAAATGTTTCGGGTTTTACTATAATGGCGCGTCTAAACGGGCCATGTTTTGCTGCAATTGATGGCTGCAACACTGTGGCCGGCAACATTGCAAACAATAGCAGCCACACTATGCAATATTGCAGTAATGTCCCGGCCATATAGCCAAACATGTTTTGTATAGCCACATATGGCCGATGTTGCCCCGATGGGTGGCCGGACGATCGCTAGGATATCGAATTCAACTGCAATATTGCACAGCCAGTTCTCTTGTTGTTTCAGTCACTCTCTTTGTTATGGCATAGTGTATCCTTTTCTACGCGACATGACGTTTGCTTTGAGTGAAGTGTGCCTGTTGCTTTATTCTGTGTTTTGCGATCAGCTGTATTTGTCGTTAGATTACTACGTAAAAATGACTACTTTTGACATTCTAGTTCTTGAATAATTTATTATCAAGACTTATTTCTAGACTCAAATTGTCTACAGTTTCACGCCTATTTAAGTAAGGTCGAATCCACAATCTCTTCTTTTTCTGTTTCTTTTTTAAAACAATATAAGCTGCTGCGACAAGTGTGATTTCGTCAGCCATTGTTGCCGGTTTGTGTAGCCCGTTTAGGAGTCTGCATCATGGGCCATACTATTGCAACACATTGCCCAGCCATAGATTGTTTGGCCATCAGCTGCATTAAAATATTTTTGTAATGGCCGGGCAATTAGTGGCCAACAGTGCAGCCATCAATCGCAGCAAAACATGGCCCGTTTAGACGCGCCATAAGACAAATTATGAAGATATTGACATTTCGAAAGAGGATGTGAGGAAATATTTTAAGAAGCGAGAAGACTTTGACGTTACTTAGCAGTAGTAAAAACATGTTTTCTTTAATATATTACGTTGTTTTGATGTATAATTTCAGTTTTCTTTTTAATTTATCAATGTACTTAATTGACTTATGTTTTTGTTTAACAATGTAACTGTTTTGGCGTTGTGTGTAAGCTGTAAGATTACTTAAAAATAAATATACTTAAAAATTGTATTCTAAAAAATCATAATGTTCGGTCACATTGTAAGACATAGAAAACACTTTAAGAATTATATCACAAAAGCGCTAATACTTACTACTTACTTCCTTAGTTACTTTGGTGGTAATAAATTAATTTTATTTTATTACTGGTAATCGAATACCTAGGCTATCTGTTAAAACTAACACAAGTCAATTTTGGATCCAAACTTAATTACTAACAAAACTGATATTGCATGTAAGTAAACTATTAACTAACGTAATCTAATCTTACTTCCTGTATTATAAGCTGTAAGAAAAAAAGCCTAATTTTTTAAATTTTATTTGTAATAAACTACCTATCAAAAGGGACAGAAATCTTTAAATGGTCAGGATAAAAATGTATTGCACAGAAATAATATTTCTTCACTTTTGTTCTCAGTAACTTGAACCATCGGACGAGTGGAGCCGCAGACAAAAATATTTTCATTTAATGTAAATTAGTATTCCTATCGTTTTATTAGGGTAAGGATAATCTAACCAAAAATATTGTTAACGTAGTCAACATATAAATAGCAAAAAGGTTAGTCGACATCACAGGAGACCGAAGAGCTGGCAGCTACCTCGGACAAAGAATTAGGCTATGTTCAGATGGCAAAAACTTGACGCGCGTTTTCAAATCGCGCGACTAGAGATTATGGTATTTTTCATACAACTGTTCACATGTACGCGCGTTAACGCGCGTTAACGCGCGTCAACGCGGCGCTCAGAGAAAAAGGCTATGTTCACATGTAACGCGCGTTAACGCGCGTCAACGCGCGATCAAATTTGAAGAGCGTTCAGATGATGAGTGCTAACGCGCGTTGCGAGAGTACTCGTCAGTCTAGTTCGGTAGAACGTAGAAAATGGACGTGGAAGAGGCTATTATTTTGTGGTTATATTATAAAGAAAAATATAGAAAAAGAAAACGTACACATTGGGTTTATCCAATTTTGAAAAAAAAATACAATTTATATTATATTTTTTATACAAATTTGCTATATTCCAACTTGCTGACCTTTTTTCTACTTCATCGATTAGTAAGTCGATGTCAATATCTTCAATTTCACTCATTTTAAAAGCGAGAACAAAATATAATTACGAAAATTAATAAAATTACATGCGATCGCGATGAAAGCGCGCGCTCATCTGAACAGCAAACGGACATTACATTAATATCAAAGCGCGCGTCAACGCGCGATCACCTGCGTCTAGAGACTTTTTCTCTGAGCGCCGCGTTGACGCGCGTTAACGCGCGTTGACGCGCGCTCATGTGAACAGTTGTATGAAAATACCACAATGTCTAGTCGCGCGATTTGAAAACGCGCGTCAAGTTTTTGCCATCTGAACATAGCCTCTTGCCTAAAGGGACTCCGTTTAATAATATATTTTAGTAATAAAATTTTAAGGTTAGAACTATTGTTTTTTATATACTTCAATTATATATAAATAAATTATTATTTATTGCGTTGTTCTGTTTTTTTGTCATCCAAATAAATTGCCCAAATTCTTGACAATGCCCTCATTGTTAACGTAACGCGTTCCCTCCATTCCTAATCCGAAAGGAGACTCTCCTTTGGTTCGAAGAAAATATAAACCTTTGGTGCCAGGCTTCGTTGGATAACCCATGTAACTGTAAACAAATAAAAACTTTTATATATTTGTGGTAGCACGAATAAAATTACAAATTTTGAACACCGTTTAAGCTCGTTAAAAGTCTGATTGATACTTTGGTTATAACTTGAATTATAAATTATTATTAAAGTTTTACGGGACATTGTTGCCAAGAACAATAGTTTTTGTGTGACCTGCTAGTCTTATTTAGAGTCCCAAGTTTAGTCTGTACTCTTAGTGAGTGAAGCTTTTTAATTCTTATATGCAAACAAACAGGGTAGTGTTGGCCTAGTGGCTTCAACGTGTGACTCTCATCCCTGAGGTTGTAGGTTCGATCCCCGGCTGTGCACCAACGGACTTGCTTCCTATGTGCGCATTTAACGCTCGAACGGTGAAGGGAAATATCGCGAGGAAACCTTCGACACAAAAAGTCAACGGCGTGTGACAGGCACAGGATTTATTGATTGACAAACGATCATGAAATAGATACAGATATCTGAGGCCCAGACTTAAAAAAAGGTTGTAGCGCTACTGATTTTAATGCAAACATTAAAAATCGATTTGCTTATTTCGTAAGGTTAAACTGGGACATGTTAGCAGCAATGAGGTTAAGGTGACTTATGATAAAGCAAATTGTGCAAGCTATACCCATCTATCACCCCTTAATACACGATACCATATGTAAATTAATTTGACTAATTATAAAACTAATATTGTCTTTTTCAGTAGTGTTTTAGTTCGTAACTTTAAAAGTTACACGATTTGCTTGCATATATAATTTTTAAGATTAAAAAATTAAATTGTTCACTTAAGAAACGTAATTAATAGGTTTTAGTAAGAAACACATTAAGTAAAATGTGAAATAATTCCAAATAATTTTCCAATAGCCCCCCCTTAAAATTCAAATTGGGGTGTGGGGCATGGGCCCCACGTTGGGAAACTCTGTGCTAGAGTATCAACTATGAGCAGAGCAGTGATGGCTTAGTCAGTAGTGGATTGAGCGTGCGACTCTCATTCCTGAGGTCGTAGGTTCGATTCCCGGCTGTGCACCAATGGATTTTATTTCTATGTGCGCATTTAACAACGGTGAAGGAAAACATCGTAAACAAACCGGCTTGCCATAGACTCAAAAAGTCGACGGCATGTTTGATGATTAGACACAGGAGGCTGATCATCTACTTGCCTATAAGATTGACAAATGATCATGAAACAAATTCAGAAATCTGAGGCTGTAGCGCCACTGATTTATTTTTATTAATATTTGAGCGGCCATATTGGAATATTACCCGCCATAAAGCAGACTTTTGACAATACTCATTTTACAATACATAAAGCAGACTTTTGACAATACTCATTTTACAATACATAAAGCAGACTTTTGACAATACTCATTTTACAATACCTCTAACTATATATATGAAACTTTTGTCTACTTACACGACTTCTGTTTCGCATTCCCCTTTCTTAAACGCGTCCCAATCTTTACATTTGACAGCTGGAAATGCCTCAGGATTTATTATGGATTCTCCATACAAGGGCACACAGCGAGAATGAGAGCAAGATTGAAGTACGCAGTTTGGTTGCGTTAGTCCTTGGTTTGGGAAGAAGTCTACATGACCTGAAAAAAAAATTCAGCATACATTGTTTTAAGTATTGTAACAAGCATATCTATGTGGATAGTAAGTAAGGTTTCCATATAGAGGAAAGATCTGAGAAATTTTCGGTCAATCTTGATTTGACTGAACTCCTATGAAAGATCTGGTATTGAACAGAATTTGGTCATTACATAATTACAGTCTAAGCGACAAAGAAACTGAAATAGTTAAAAGCATGAATTCACCGTAATTGGAGCCGTATACAATATATATGGAGCCGTATACGTAGTGTCGTCTGTGGTTGGATTTTTAAAACCATCTAAAAATGACTAAAGGACAACATCATCTAAATGCTTTAGAGTAAATATAACTTACCTAACGGTTCCTTTATCCCAAACACACCAGAATCAGTATGAATGACGTCAACGAAATCAGCATCTGTGCTTTTCAATCTGACTTCCGGGTCGACGTGGCTAAAGCAAGGTCCAGCCGGATCCAAACCAGATATCCGGCCGATCTTTTTTCCTGTTATTTTTTCAAAGGTCTTTCCAGCGAAGCCTGATATGTGGGAACCGAGGCTGTGCCCGATTAAGTGGATTAGAGAGGGATCTTGACCATCTAGGACACAAGTTTATATTGATAGTTAAAGAAATATTTATTAAGCACAAAAACTGGCGCGGCCGCAGAGCAGGCGCAAAATAATAAACGGCTCAAATATAGGAATCTTTCCTCCAACTTTGATTTTGTTCCCTTTGGAGTAGACACTTGGGTCATGGGGTTCAAATGCACAGGCGCTAATTCAAGAATTAAGTTGGCGTCTGGTACTACGGTGACTCCAGAGTTGGTGCTTTCCTCGCTCAACGAATAAGTATCTCAATATATCAAGGAAATCCTGACAGCCTTAAAGGTAGACTGCCACAAGGACCAAACTTTTTAAATTTGTTTAAATTTTCTATTTATCAATTTTTAATTATATTACGTCAAGAATATTGTTAGATGATTGTGGTTTAAGTCTCGTTATTAAGTCGTTATTATAACGCGGATTCATTTCTATGTACCAAACCAAAATGATTATTATTTTGCTATGAATTGAATAATATTATTGCCAGACAAAAACATTTATTTTTATTTAAAACTCTTTGGTTTAATTGCCGTATTTTGTTGCAACCTTTTTGCAAAGCTATGTTATTAACAAGTAATTATTTTATAATTACTATTACGCTATAATTGGTTCAATGTAAGTAATTTATTACAGTCCTAGTAAACTAATTAAATCATCTTCCGTCATAGTAAATCATCAAGGTAACCAAGATTTTTATTAAACAGCTTGACGTTTCCATAAAGCATAGAACTCGTAAAGCACTCATGGGCCAAAAGTATCAAGGAAATTATTTGAAACGTAAATGTGATAACATTAATATGTATCTATTAAATTTTGTTGAAGATCGTTTTTAATAACTAAATAATTGTAAAATAAATGTTTTGTTTAGTCATGAATTCTGCAAACCAATAAGTCCATTCTTAACTCAAAAACAACCACAAGACTATCTATCATATACAAACGGATGCTTAGCTACTTTGGCCATATTGCCAGGAGAGAATCAAAGAGTCTCGACAAGTTGGTAATGGTACGGAAGAGTAATAATAATAATAATAATAATTTTTATTCATCAGACAAATACAGTCCATTGATTGATTAGTGAGTTAGTAACAATAGTTTCTTAAGATATGTTAGAGAATTAGTAAAAATAAGGAAAAAGTAGTTAAATAAAAACTATCAGGTACAAAGCCCTGCGGAGATGTCGGAGCAGTGTCGTAATGGCAGGAGTATTCAGGGTCAATCGCCTACCCGTTGGTACGACCAAATAAAGCGAATTTGGGTCTCAACATCCCTAATGCACTAAGACAAGCTGAGGATATAGTGGTGTGTAGGCAGCAAGGCAACATATCACTTAGGACTTTTCAAGACAGGCGCAACCAAACAGTAACAAAGTTTACTAAGAAGAGAGTCACAAGTTGCAATAAATGAAGTGAAAAGAGAAGACGTGTTTTATTTTTAACTAAATTGTATAATAGTAGTTATTTAAAATTGAACCATAAGTGACATAAGTTTGGCCCTTCGCGGCCGGATGTTCGGAAAAATTTCTAATAACTATCCAAGAAATATTATTTACTATTTTGATATTTATTTCACGTTTGCTAATAATTGTCTTAAATAAAATGAAAGTAATAGAATGTAATATCATTTCGCAAAGAATTCTTGTTAAGGTTTGCGCATGCGCATCTGTCGCAGTCTACGTTAAAGAAAACTCTTGAGTCGCCTTTATTAGATCATGTTTGAAATCTTCACATCCGGAATGGGACGTGCTTTTAATCGCAATGTTGTATTACGTAATATTTATGTGGTTTTCTGGTTATTTTCTGCAATTAATGTCATTAACGCATTACTTTAATCGAGTTTATTGATCATCCTTGAATACTTTATTAATAAAATGATGTTATATCTATTATTTTGTGAGCTTGTTTATTTCCGCATTATTGGCGTATTTCTTGTTCAATACGCCATAATGCTGAAGTTTTTTACTTGGACTGCTTAAGAAATACTTTTTACTTAAAAGATTTATATATTATATTTATATAGACAGGCTTCCTAAATACAATAATTTCTTTATTTCACATTATCCATATGTAGTTTTAGTCAGCAACAATTCGGTCTTAGTTGCTATGTTGGTATTGGTTAAAGAAAAGGAGATTTTTAGAAATTATTCTAATTTTATTATGTAGTCTAAGCTAATCAAGATTTCGTCTAGAAGTGAAGAATAACGTCGCTTTTTGACCTTCCGTTACGTTATATATTTACGTTTGTATTTATTTAAAATGCTTTTTGTTTTCTTCTGCTATTTGTGCTGTAAAATATAGTTGCTGGGATTAACGGGGAGTTCCAGTATCAGTACTTACGTTCAACCAATGCTGCTAAAACTTCAGCAAGCTTCTGACCAATAAACCGGACATATGTTGACGATCGAAGATACAGCCATCGAATTAATGGACTCCCATCTAACGCCAGAATACTGATTTCATCTAGAAGAACAGAATATTTAAATTCGGCACGTTCGTCACAAATAAGCTCACCTGTACAGATTATTCCATTGCAGTAACAATTTAAATTTACATCACATACAAAATAATACATACTCATAGAAAAAAATGACACAATATTAAACAGTAATAGATTAAAATATTTACAAAAGACTAACTATTTCTTACAGTACAGGAAGTAATTTTGCCTCAAATTAGTTACAGTTACATTTTTTTAGTTTTCTCAACGGACAATTTAAAACGTCTGTTTAACTATGCAGTACAGGCTTTATAGATAAAGAGAGTTGTTGGTATTTGATAGCTCGTAACATGTTATAATATATTTTTCAGAACTACGACAGTATGAAACAAGATTTTATCGTAGTTTTAATTTGCTTCAAGCGTTTATCCGGTTCTCTCAATTTTTACAGCACTGTTCCAGCTTAGATCTAGTGACTGCAAACAGTCAGGGGAAACGGTACATGGCTCATCTGATGTTAGGTACTACCGCCACCCATGGGCATTCTGAAGTACAAATACGTTGCAAGTATCGTAACGATTTTTCTTGAAGGACCGTATCGTGAAGGATTGTAAGTTCGTAAGTAATTTCTCGAATATCAATACTGTAAAACTTACGGCTCTGAAGGAAAGATCTGCTGATGTTAAAGAAGTTGTCACCCTGCGGTTTGTCGGTGAAGCCATGCGAGAAGATAATCAGTCTCTTGTCAGGCTCGCTATTACGACTTTGCACTAACCAGCCAGCAGCGTCTGTTATATTTATTGTCGCTGTTTTAAATCTGCAATTATAAATAAAATTGTCATGACCAACGGCTGTATGCGGAGGCCAGATCTTTGCACTTTTTTCTCGATATCTTGTCCAGGCAAGGTACTGTGCCTGACACATGTCGTCGATATATGCATTATGCATCTATGATGTAAGAGCATTTATTTAATTGAGTATATTTTGCCTAACAAAACAAAATGTTTATTGGTGACACCGTAGATCTATAGAAATGATTCGGAGTTGAACTAAGGTAACACGACAAAGAAAACTCAAATCCTTGGTATATTCTGGACCGAGAGAATCTCTAATGATCAGCAGTGGAAATGGGTGGTCCATATGGACCACCCATTTCCACTGCAGGAGCATATGCTCCAGCGGGATCCAAATCACATTGCAAAGAAAACCCTCGACTGGAACCCTCTAGGCTAAAGGCGATGTGGCCACCCAAAACAGACCTGGCAATAAAGCATCATTGCAGATCATTATATAGAGTGAAATTAAGAGATCTGCCCATGCCCGATGAGGCTGGTTTTCTACGCTGGATGCTCTCTGCCCCACTTGGGGGACATATACCTTAAAGTCAAGTCAAGTCAACTTGAAATACACACACAGCACACACGCATTACACAGTTACAACGTAACTACTTCTCTAAAAGAAAAAAATAATTGTTATCTCCTATTCTTTTTTATTTTTTTCCTTGATTATTGTTATTTTGTGTGTTTTGTTACTAATAAATGTTATGCCTATGTCTAAACAGAACTATCGTTTCTTGATGAAGTTCTAATGTCTACACTTGCTTATTCTCTCTATGATGTATAATTAATTCTTGAAAACTTACCGACTATTATAAAACAGAGCTAGCTTGTTAAGGTCCGGTTCCTTTTCTCCTGTCAACTGTTCATATGAAACTCCAACCAGCCTTTTGACATGCTTACCTGTTAGGTTATAAACAAGTGTGACACGCGTTCGTTCTGTGGTCGCTTGAAACAAGCTACAAGCGATTTATAATAATAAAGCCTTTTAAGTTAATTCAAGATCTGTCATAGTTTCTTATATCGTTCACTCACTTACTTCTAATATTAAAATAAAAATAAATCAGTGGCGCTACAACCTCTTTAGGTTTTGGCCTCAGATTTGGATCTGTTTCATGATCATTTTTTAAATCTAATAGGCAAGTAGGTGATCAGCCTCCAGTGCCTGACACACGCCGTCGACTTTTTGGGTCAGTTTCCTCACGATGTTTTCCATCGCCGTTCGATCAAATGTTAAATGCGCACATGGAAAGAAAATCCATTGGTGCACAGTCGGGGATCGAACCTACGACCTCAGGTATGAGAGTCGCACGCTGAACCCAACACTGCTCAATTTCTTACTTACTACTTCTAATAATTTGATATCATTAAAATGTTATGTCATGTCTTGGGACTACTTTCTTATCGTAGTACTTAGTACGGGAGGTAGCAACGTTTTCGAGAAAGAATTTTAGGTCAGCTGATTTTGTGATATGTCTTCCTTCTTGCACTTTCGGTTAGAGTCTTGGCAATCTGGCTGGCGGTAGCGGTTGCGTTCTTTAGTGCGCATCCTATCTGTCCAGGTAATATCCTGGATTTTAAAAGCATTTTAAGATGCGTAATTTTTAATTTTTCGTTTTTAAATAAGTCTACCTGACATACTTTTTTTATTGCCAGACAATTTTCACATTGCTAACTATGTGCCAGACGCGATTTTAATTTTTTTTTTTATAAAAATTTCAAAGTATTTTAGAATGTCTGTAATTTTAATATTATGTTCTTTAAATATAAGAAAAACTAAAAATGAATTTGCCAGACATTAATTCGGTTGTTAAGTCTTGAATTAAAATGAAAAAGTATTGCAGTATGATGAAGCGTTGCATTTTAAGAAGCGCAATTTTTAATTTTTCCTTTTTAAATAAGTCTACCTGACATACTTTTTTTATTGCCAGACATTTTTCACATTGCTAACTATGTGCCAGACGTGATTTTAAGTTTTTTTTTTATAAAAATTTCAAAGTATTTTAGAATGTCTGTAATTTTAATATTATGTTCTTTAAATATAAGAAAATCTAAAAATGAATTTGCCAGACATTAATTCGGTTGTTAAGTCTTGAATTAAAATGAAAAAGTATTGCAGTATGATGAAGCGTTGCATTTTAAGAAGCGCAATTTTTAATTTTTCCTTTTTAAATAAGTCTACCTGACATACTTTTTTTATTGCCAGACATTTTTCACATTGCTAACTATGTGCCAGACGCGATTTTAAGTTTTTTTTAATAAAAATTTCAAAGTATTTTAGAATGTCTGTAATTTTAATATTATGTTATTTAAATATAAGAAAATCTAAAAATGAATTTGCCAGACATTAATTCGATTGTTAAGCCTTGAATTAAAATGAAAAAGTCATGAAAAGTATGGCAGTATGATGCCTTTCATTGGTAATAAAAACATTTACGTAAGTTTTAATAAATGTTATTCATACAAAGTGATAAATAACTAAGTAATTAAAACTATTGAAGAATCATTATCGTGTGAGAAGATTCTGAACAAAAAAAAAATTAAAAATAACGCTTCCTCAAATGCAATGCTTCATCATACTGCAATACTTTTTCATTTTAATTCAAGACTTAACAATCGAATTAATGTCTGGCAAATTCATTTTTAGTTTTTCTTATATTTAAAGAACATAATATTAAAATTACAGACATTCTAAAATACTTTGAAATTTTTATTAAAAAAAAACTTAAAATCGCGTCTGGCACATAGTTAGCAATGTGAAAAATGTCTGGCAATAAAAAAAGTATGTCAGGTAGACTTATTTAAAAACGAAAAATTAAAAATTACGCTTCTTAAAATGCTTTTAAAATCCAGGATTATTACCGGACAGATAGGATGCGCACTAATGAACGCAACCGCTACCGCCAGCCAGATTGCCCAGACTCTAACCGAAAGTGCAAGAAGGAAGACATATCACAAAATCAGCTGACCTAAAATTCTTTCTTTTCAAACGTTGCTACCTCCCGTAGTACTAGACAACAGTTAACTAAATTGAGTCTAATTAAGTTAATAGTTGAATTCGCTACTGAAGTAACGCGGTAAGTGACTCCACCTTGCGTGGCGAGATTTAAACGTTCTTTAAAAAAAAATCATACATTGTGAAGAGCCAACATATACGAGCGATTCTTCAATTGGATGCTTAGCAGCAGACACCTCCCTTCCTATTCCCTGCCCTATCAAATCCACGATGTTACTCCCCTGCTGCGCTGAAGACAGGGAAAGAGCTGTCAATACAAGTGACAGTGCGCTTCGGGAGTCCCATGAAGTTTTCTGTGAAAATATTTTAAATCAAAAATAAAAAAAACTGACGCGCCAAATTAGGGTGTATTTTATTCAGAAATATATCATAAAGACGTCCATTAAGAAATATAGATAACATTATATAATAAATAGCTTGGTATGTACGGAATTTCAATATAATATCTAATACATACCATGTTTTTTAGTCCGCCACGCACCTGTAAAGTAAATATATCAAAATATCAATAATTATTTTTTTTAAACTAAAATCTAGAGGCACAAAATTATGTAATAGTTATTTTATAGTGGATAAAACCTTAAGGCCGGCAACGCACCTTAAACCTCCTGTTGTTGTTGTCCATGGGCGAAGGTAAACACTTAATTTTAAGTGCTGCTCGTTTGCCCTTGTCCCATAAAACAAAATCTTAACACAAAAGTGCACACCGCGACCGCCCCAAACTCAGTGGTTAAAGCACACATCTTGGGTTTGGGTAGAAATAATTTTTGACCCTGGATTAATATTCGCAATAACTTAAAGCATCGCACACATTGATACACACAACTTACGCCATCTTGGACATATCTATACCAGTTATACGCATCATCTTCGGTCAGCTCCATTGGAAGACTTAAAATAATAAATTTTTATTTAAATTAATCAAATACCAAAATAATATACCTACAACAAATAAACCTTTTTCGGGTTTCAAGGCGGTTAAAATACCTACTAAATGATAAATACCAATAAATTATACTTTTTCGTTATTCTTCTAAATAATACTACCGGTACCGTTCCTGGGTCATCGGGGTCCTTTAAATAATAGAACATTTTATTTTTCCTCAATAATATTCACTCGCGTACAACAATAAAATACAAACGAATGAATTGATTAAATACAAAGGTTGATTGCTATAAAACTAATAAATGCAATGTAACCGTTGAAGAGAGTGCCTACGTCTGGCTATACTCTCGGGGCGTAACTCCGATGATTTAGGAAATCACCACGCTTATAAAAGTAAGAAAGTGAGCAAAATGCCTTGGCTCGTACGCTACCTATTTTGAATACTTTATTTTTATTATATATCGGTTCACTATTCATAATTACACTATATTCTAATAAAGTAATAAGCTTGGGTTTCTAAGTTTCTATATAGGATATATTTAAGACCTAGTGAACAAATCTATATCAGTAGACATGTGTCTGAGTCGAGACTTCCATATGTAAAAATGCTTTGGGTTTGACATACGCGAAACGTAGTTAGCCTTTAGTCCGACCATGAACCCTTCACTCTAAAGAATCAATGACGCTACAGCTCATTTTTTCATTTGCTAATTTTTTCTTCAAGTGGGCCTTCTGTGCCTGACGCAGATTAGATTCAGCCAACCATTTGAGACCGCCATCAATTTTTGGGTCTAATGCGTCCCAATTACCTCACAATTTTTGACCTTATGAGCGAGTGTTAAAGGCGCACAAGTTCAATGGCCCACAGCCGTGATTCGAACGCAAGAAGGGGTAAAGGCAGACTTAAAGCACTAGGCCAACTCTCCTTTTTTCTTTTGTTTCGTTGTTCAATTACTCTTACCCAAGCTTTTGACAACGAAAGAGTTTCCTTTGATTGAAGCGAAGTATAGATGAACTGCCCTGCGATTCTGTAACTCACTTTTCGAACTCACACAGCGGTTTTCGCATCGGCGGTCGCTCTCAAATCAGTCGTGAAGCAGTCATTTTATGATTTGGCATTCTAATAAACAATAAACTACAAGCTTCCACCTTTTCAGAATGCCAAATCATAAAATGACTGCTTCACGACTGATTTGAGAGCGACCGCCTATGCGAAAACCGCTGTGTGAGTTCGAAAAGTGAGTTACAGAATCGCAGGGCTGTACACCAATCACAATCCATCTAAACTCTCCTCATTTAGTTTTTCGCTTTTCATTATCAGTTATAGCAAATATCTACAGAATCACAACCTTTTACCCAGAACATTTAACACTAATACTACAAAAGAGCAGAAAAATCTATTAAAATATATTTTAATATTATATAATTTACGGATAAATAGTTTAAGAATGCCCTACTTTTCGATTAATTAAAGTAACAAACACAAATTGTAAGTATCTTCTTCCTCTGATAACGATGTTTATAGCTCTTTAAAAGAAAGTAATGTTCTTTGTAAATTAGATCGTAAATACAGGTTCTAAAAAGTAAGTTTTATTATTAAAACTCAAAATCATTTATTCATAAAGGTAACATAATGTAGACTTATGAACGTCAAAAAAGAAATATATATGAAATATGATTAATGATTATAATTTGTTTATATTGTCAATGGAGTTTTTTTTATACTTTTCACTTGAACTTCAGCAAAGTAGTCTATTTATTAAGCATCGTTCAGGTATATCGTTGTATGGACAATTTTAAACCACATTATGACGAAGTCTCGGTTAAAATTTGAAGGCCCAAATCTTATAGTAGGACCACTTAATGCGACAAAAACCGAAACAAGTTTTATAAGTACTTATTCTTATAACTACTAAAGTACTTATTCGGAAAGAAATTGTAAACGTATTTTCTTAAGAATTTATACTTAAACGAAGTTCTATAATCTGTCGGTAATGTATCTGTAAAAGGACACTATACCGGATTTAAACGCATAACACTATTTTAAGACGCATGGTCAGTAGTTGGCATTGAATATCGGTGTAATCGGTCATTACAAAATTTGATAAAAACTTACAAATAATTATAATTATTTAATAATTTGCGTTTCAATTTTATGTTCTGGCATTGTAATCAAAACCACCCTAAATGTATCGAACAAAGCGATAAAATCTATCTTAAAATAAGTTGTATTACAAAGTAACAAAGCGATATTTTGGGTATTTTATTAAAATTGTCACTGACGTATGCCACTTTAGGTAAGGAAAAAATTAACATATAAAAACTACTTACTATAACGATCAACTGTCAAAGGTTAAAAAAAACAAGTCTACTTGCTAGCTAAGCACATTGAGAACAACTCGCACACTGAGGAATTGTTGGCAAAAACTCTAGTATTATACGCAAGACATCGTATTTAGGGTTCCGCGAATCTTTAAGTATCTGTTTTTTTCATAACTAGCTTCCAGGCACAGCTTCTCGTATTTAGGAAGGGTAATTTTAAAGATTAACTTTAAAACTTTGTAACATTACTGTATGTTATAAATTTAATGTGCTGGAAAACCAATTAGGCTCACATAAAAATAAAACCGTCATTTCAATAATGAGAATAAAATTCTTAAAACATTCAGCCGTAAATTACGCAGGCAATGAAAACTTTTTGAAACTTATCATGGTTGGTAATATAGAAGATCACGTGACCGTTTTTCAACCAGATGGACCGATCAAGTGAAAGACTCAACGTCCTCAAAACTGTATATATAAAAGAGGCGCTGGAGAGAAGCCGGTGGAAACAGATAGGATACGAGATACTGAGCGCAAGTTTCGTCTCTAAATCTATGGATTGGGGCGGATCTATGACGTGTTGACACTGGCTGACGCCAGAAAGACCTGAATTATACGCAGAAATCCATCCAATGTGTGGGTAATAAAGTGATACAACTCCATGAATGATATGTAGGGAATGCAAAGTTAAAGAAATTTTGCTAATAGATCATAGTGTAGACGCCACCTTACTCGGAAACTAGCGAATATCATCCATTACAAGAAAGCTATTATGAAATAGATATAGCTTACTCCCTAAACATAAAAATCTTAGGGTTTCAAAGTCAAGGTCAAATCATTTATTTCAATTAGACCACCTAAAATGGCACCTTTAAACGTCAAATAAAATATAAAGAAGATTCTAGTTGCCCCTTCCAAAAGGTAGTTTCGTGTGGAGAAGAATGGGCAAGAAACTCCACACTTACTCTTTTAAAATAGGTTTACAATATTTTGTTTACATTAGTTAAATTATCATATGTGAACAACGTTTAACTGTAGGGTTTAATTTTAGGGATGAAGTTTTGCCGAAAATTGTTGCTGAATTATTATGAAAAGGTCGCATTTTTTGCCATATAAAATATTTTGAGAAATATTTTCTTGACGAAATAAGTAAATTGTTCTTGTATGCACTTCCATATGCCCATTACAATAATCTAATACGGTTTTAGCCTAAACTTACCCTAAGAACGCAAATATGCAGTGATATTTCGATATGCTATTGTTAACAGAACAAATAATATTGTTTGTTTAAGTTAGAGGTGATTGCTATCGATAAATTATGTATTTAGAAGGTCACAAATGTATTCTGAGATTTTAATTTCTTAGAAGTATCAAGGATTTATGTATGTATGACGTCATACGTGTTAGTGGTACCTTAAGTGAACGGAAATATATTTATACCAACTTAGAAAATTTAAAAGAATACATTATTTGCGATTGTTTTAAAAGCCTTAATGGTTGTGGAGATTTCAGTATCAAGAGTGCATTGAAAATTTTAGCTTTTGTTTGATATTGACAATAATTTATATTATTGTCCGTATATCTAACTTTAAAGGAAAGCAAACTAATACTATCGAAATGTATTTTTAATTTTAGAAGAAGGCTAAACATTATAGTTTCTAGAGATTTTAATGCACGCAATATATTGTTGGCACAAAACATAAGGTAAGATTAATAAATAACGCCTGTCCAAATCTTCATGGCAATATTACTGTGACAATATTGCCAGGCTTTATACTACATATAGGGTGTATAATATATGTCACAGCCAACTATTTAGCCTATTCTCTATTCATTAACAGCCAAATAGCGCCATTTAACTAGTGCCCTTAATAATATTTGCCATTTGATCCTTGACGTTACTATAACGGCATTACTTACATAGACATAGACATACATACTCGTATCTTGCTATCTAACGGCTACTCTTAGGGTCAAAACTGTTTCAATTTGGCGTCAAACCATAAAATTCGGCGGCGGAGTCTTGCATCGACGTGTTACAGTTTGACTGATAGCAGAAGAAATGAAAATGTCTATAGTAAGTATACACAATCGTTTTGGGTATAAAAAAATATCAGCACGATGGGTACCCAGAATTCCTTTTAACGCGCAGTAACAAACGAGACTGAGAATCTCAGAAAGGGTATGTTACTAAGAGATCTTGACCGATGTTTGACTCGATTCATAACTATCGACAAAACTTGCCACCACCATTAAGACCTAGAAATAACAGTCCCTGAATTGGAAGTAACTGTCATCTCCAACTCCTAGGAACTATAAGCCATCCGGTATGATCGGCTGTTTCTTTCTGAGACAGCCAAGAGCTGGTAGTGATGGAGTATCCGAAGCCCGTATTACGAGGATTTTGTTAACAGGACAAATTACAAAGTTGCGTGTGGAAATACGCAAGCAACGCAGCCAACTCACTAAAGTGTTTTTCTATCGTTTTTTTACGACTTGTATGTAGTACCCAAGTAATATTAACGAGGCGCATGGCTTTGGACCCCATAAAACTGATATTACATACATGATGTAAATGATATTGTCTCTGTTCACAGTGAATACATTAGGTTAGTTTAGGTTCTTTCATTCATTTCACAAATCATGATGTTCTTATTCATTTCTATGGGGTTAAAG